TGTTTTTCTCAGTGTTTTCTGTGGAAATTGGTCAGCTCAAGCTTTTCTTTGTCTGCTAGAATCAATTTTAATATATTGTGTTTTTCTAGGAAACTACCCACTGTATCTAGGCTTTCAATTTTTTATGCATACAGTTGTCTAAAATATTCTTGAGGTTTTTTTCTTTAAATTTTCTCTGAACATTTGTTTCTGCTGTCATTTTTTAAGACTTTTTTATTTAAATTCAATTAACATATATAATGTATTCATTTCAGAGGTAGAATTTAGTGATTCATTGGTTGCATAGAACACCCAGTGCTCATTACGTTAAGTGTCCTCCTTCAGGCCCATCCCCCAGTTACCCCACCCCCCACCCACCTCCCCTCCAGCAACCCACAGTTTGTTTCCTAGAGTTAAGAGTCTCTTACGGTTTGTCTCCCTCTCTGTTTTTATCTTACTTTATTTTTCTTTCCCTTCCCCTGTGTTCTTCTGTTCTGTTTCTTAAATTCCACATACAGGTGAAATCATACGGTATTTGTCTTTCTCTGGCTGACTTCCTTTGCTTAGCGTAATACTCTCTAGTTCCATCCCTGCCATTGCAAATGGCAAGATTTCATTCTTTTCGATGGCCAAGTAACCATCCATTGTATATAAATACCACATCTTCTCTATTGCCTTGTCATTTCTTTTTGTGTATATGTGCTTTCTCCCACTTTTTTCGTGATTATATTAGCTAGTCCATGTCTGTTTTAATATTTCTATTGATTTCCAGTTTTGTTTCATTGTGATCAGAGAATGTTGTATTACTTTATGATACAGAATTTACTGAGGTTTCTCTCTGACTGTATATTCAGTTTTTGTGAACATTTGTATGTGCTTGCAAGAAAGGTGTAGTCTACATTATTGGGCTACAAAGAGCCAGATAGAGTCATTATTAATATTGTTAGAGCACAAGCAGGGGGAGGAGCAGAGAGAGAGGGAGGGAGGGGGAAAGAATCTCAGGCAGACTCCACACTGAGCATGGAGCCTGACATGGGGCTCGATCTCACAACCCCAAGATCATGACTTGAGCCAATACCAAGATTCCAGCTCTCAACTGACCGAGCCAGCCAGGTGCTTCAATTATATTGTTAGGTCTTATATTTATTTACTTTTCCCCGTCTCCTTGGCCTTAGACTGAGAGCATTATTGTTTATTTTTGTATAATAATATGCTTAATTCATAAATATTTAAATATTATTGTGTTTCACTTTGTTTCTTTTTGTGTCTGCTTTGTGAAGGTGATTGGGGTGTTTTATTTTTTCATTATGAATTATAGCCTTTAGTGTTGTTAGCCTTGGGGAAAAAAAAAACCTGCCAGTTATTTTACTAGCAAAAATGGGTTTATGTGGGAATAGAGAATTCAGTTCAGGACAAATTAGCTGGGGCAAAACCATAGGAAAGTCCAACAGTTAAAAAAGAGAAAGGTTCTTTTAGAGAGGAAAGGGGGTGTAGGGAGGGGCTTTTGCAAACTAAAAGACCATTGGAGTGAACTGGGTGCTAGAGGTATAGTGGCCTCTCATTGGCTGAGCTGTAACTTCCTCTCATTGGTTGTGCTTTTGCTGGGAGGGAAGAAACCTTCCTCCTCCTGCTGGGATATTAAGTAGCAGCCTCCAGGAGGTCCCTCTCTTCCAGTTAGGTCTGGTTGACAACCAGTGCTGGGTGTGAGTGCTCCTCCTGCCAGCCTCTGAACTCCATTCTAGACAAGGTTTCCTTTTATTAATTTTCACAGGGATAGGAAGTGTCTGTTGCTGGATTTCCTGCTTTGGGCCTGAGTCCTCCCTTCCCTGTTATCTTGCTTTCCAAGGATTTGTGTGTGCCACACCTTTACTGTTTTGTCATGGTTAACTTTTTTGTTTTGATTGAGCTTTCTTGAATATACAGTCATGTTTTCTTTTGTTCATCAGTGTGATCATTTTTTTTTTAACCGATAAAGTGAGTTAAGCCATGTACATTGAACAAGGTTATGTGCCTGATCTCAAGTTTTATGTCACGTTTATGGTGTGACATGGCACATTCCTGGGCTCCTTTCTCCCAAGTATGTTTTCCCTTTTTTATGTGTGTGTTTTTGGGTAAAGGTACTAACTTTTGTTATTTAGGAAGGTTTGTATTTTTGTTGGGGTGGTTACCTTTTGTCTTAATACTTTCTGTCTCCATTTTCCCTTTTCAGGCCTATGGACTATTTTATTTCTTGGCTTTATATGATATTCCTTTCCTCCCATGGTGCTCAGTGAACTTATTCTACTTTGAACCTTTTCCTTTCTCCCACATTTGAAGACCCACTATTTCCTCCTTTCTGAGAACATGCAACATTTACACACTGTTCTTCCTGGTTTATTTATTTATTTATTTATTTATTTTATTTGACCCACAGTGTACTGTACTGGTGTAACAGTGTTACACCAGTTCTGGTGATGTTTTCCTGGTGTCTTGTGGTCTGGTGGGGCCCATCCTTTAGGAGATCCCCTAGGAAGTCACTCGGATGCATCCTTGCAGGTCTGATGCTGCTTTCTGTAGCTTGGGGTCTTGAGAATGGCCTGGGTTGGGCCCTAAATCCCTGGCTCATACTTGTCTTGAATTTTGTGAATATACTGTTTCACTGTGTTTCTGTTGAAATGTCTGCTCCCACTTTGACTGACTTTCCTTGTTACACACTTGGACTTGTTAATCAAAGGCTTGAAGGATTTTTGAAATACATAAAGTCCAGTAGTTTTGCTCTGAGGGGTCTCTGGTGACCATCCTGGATTGACTTTTTTTCCAGGAACATATGGACCCTTTTGATAGATGGATTCAGGTTTTCTTTTGTTTTCAGGAAGTTTCATTGCATGTGAATTGTAAGAATTAGTCGGTTAATTGCATTTTCTCTGCAGGAGCTTCAGTTGTACGTTTACTAGATCTTCTTTGTTCGTCCTCTTGGACACCTGTTCTCAGATTTGTGTTATTAGCTCTTTACTCCATCTTTGTTCTCCTACTTGTTTTCCTTCTTTTTGGTGTCCTTATTGGCCTAGTAGAATATACTCTCCTAAGCATATTGCTTGTCTTTCTTAAGATAACTTTTTCTTCAATATCTTTCCTGAATTAATTTAGCTCTTATTTCACATCTTGGCTTTTTGTCTATTTCAGCTTGAGTGTTGAATTTCTAATTTGGGGCATTCCTTTATGTCTGCACGTGCTTATTTTATGGTATTTGATTCATGTTGGGGTGTAGCTACCAGTCTTTGATTGTTGGTTGTTTTTTGGGGAATAGTTTATCAGCTAAAATGTTTTCTTTCTTTCTTTCTCTTTTTCCTAAAGACTTTGTTTGAATGTTGCCTGCCATTTTCTGAGCATTTTGTAATTTTTGTGTTTTCTTGGCTAGTAAGAACAGGTGTCTTTATGGAAATTGAATAGAATAGAAAGTCCGGAGAGTGTTCCCTGTGTAAATGCCTGTGTAGAGATGTCCTTTTATTTTTAAAAATTTTTTTTCTTCTGGTGCCGGAACCCGGGAACAAACCATAAACCTGTTCTTTTGGTGCTGAAACCTGGGAACAAACCATAAACATGTCCTTTTAGTATAGTAGGTGAAGGACGAGCTATTTGAGAAATGGAACATATAGACAGGAAGGAAACAGGTTAATCCCATATCACTCTGTTGTAGAAATATATTTAAAGTAATTAAAAACTAATGCAAAAGACATAGTATAAAATTCTCTCAGGAATATATAAACGGTTTTTGAATCAAGGAAAATTACATAGGTTTGATTTACCTAAAAATCCAAAACATCTGAAACAGAGAATATTTTAACATTAAGATACATGAAAATTGGGACACCTGGGTGGCTAAGTTTGTTGGGCGGCTGCTTTTGGCTCGGGTCGTGGTCCTGGGGTCCCAGGATCGAGTCCCACATCTGGCTCCTGGCTCGGCAGAGAGCTTGCTTCTCCCTCCCACTCTGCCTGCTGCTCTCCCTGCTTTGTAATCTCCTTCTCTGTTAAATGAATAAATGAAAAACCTTAAAAAAATTCTTTAAACAAAAAAAAAATACATGAAAATTATGAGAAAACACTGAATCATCTTCTTCTTTTTTAAGATTTTACTCATCTATTTGACAGAAACCGCAAGCAGGCAGAGAGGCAGGCAGAGAGAGAGATGGAAGCAGGCTCCCCGCTGAGCAGAGGACCCCCCCCCCCCCGATGTGGGGATCCATCCCAGGACCCTGAGATCATGACCCGAGCTGAAGGCAGAGGCTTTAACCCACTGAGCCACCCAGGGGCCCCAAATCTTTAATAAAAGCACTGATATCAAATGATATGAAACATAGAATCTAGTTGAAAAAAAAAGATATATGAGTAGTCAGTTCACAGAAAACAGCACAAATGGCCAGTAATATGCAATGACTAACCCGTAATCAAGAAAGTGACAGGATGAGGATTTTCATTTGCAAAGACTGGCATTACAAGTAGTCAGATATGGGTATTTTTATACATGGTTGGTACATATAGGTATTTTATATACATGGCAAGTAAGATTGGCGCTTTTTTGAAAAGCTTGTTTTTTCCCTGTTAAGTCCTCAGCGTGACCCTCTTTGACCTGACCGGGCCAGCTCCAGGGGCTGTGGGAGGAAGTACCGGAATTGCGGTCTGGAGCATCCTTGTGGGAGCACTTCGTGCTGCGGCAGTGAGACTTGTGAACAACTTGAACTTCCCTAAGAGCGAGAGGAAGTAAAAAGTGGTGGGAAATGTCTCCTTGGAAATATTTCCAAGGAGCGTTAGAAGCTGTAGACAAAAGGCAGTTTGTGGCTACTTCAGCGTAGCTGATAGAAGGAGCCCCTGAGGTCGGGCCTGGCTGCTGGGAGGAGGGAGTAGAGGGTTTGCTCTGAAGGTTTCCGTACTGTCGGAGCGCGTTTGTTTCTGGTGCACGCAAGTGCCATCACCCCAGCATTGTCCGGCGATGGCCCCCTGCCCTTGGGGGAGGCTGGGTGCTGACCACAGCCTTTGCTGTGCAGGTGGCCTCTGCCGAGGGCATGCTGTATGCGCTGACCGTGCCCCACCTGCAGCTGCTCTCCAGGACTGGGGTGTTTCCAGGCAGACCCACCAGCCTCCTCTGCTCTCCTGACTGCCAGTGGGTGTTTGCTTCGACCCAGGACTCCGACCTGGGCCCAAAGGTCAGTGGTGAGCTGCGCCCTCTGCTCCAGGGTCCTGGCTTTGTGCACATAAGGTGGTGGGTTCTGTGCCCAGGTTTGTGGATGTGTCTGGGAAGGCGACTTCCGGTAATGGACCAAGGCTGCCAGCAGCACCTGCAGACAGGATGGTCCGGGGACAGAGGAGTCATCAGGAGCAGACTTCGAGTGGGTAGGACAGGAATCCAGAGCAAGATACTGGAGACAAAAGCACACCAGTGACGTACACTGCTCAGAACTCCCAAGAGCCCTTAACCCCACAGAGCCGTTGATTCAGTTGTCCTGTCACAGTGACTGACCCGGTACTGGTGTGCAGGCTGTTTGCAGCGGGGCCTGACTGAGCAGTCTTGAGAGCAAGACACACAGGGACATAGGTCACCCTGTAAAGACACAGTGATGTCACCGGTTGTGGGTCTGCGGCCCTCCTGGGTGCTTCTCTGTGGCATGGACCACGTGGTGGTGTTTCCTCAGGTGTTCTGCACTCGCTCCCTGCTCGCTCTGGTGGAAGAGGAGCCTCCCGTCTCTACCACTCTGCCCATATGGCGGATTTCCAGAGCCTGCTGGGCCCCTGACGAGACGGCCAGGCTGATGGTGATGCACAGAAACCATGACAGTGGGCAGCTGGCCATCACCACCTATGAACTGGAGGCCAAACAGTCCCAGGAGGGAGTGGACATTGTGGGTAAGGGTCCCTGAGCCAGGACCATGCCCTTTGCAATGTGGTTTCCTTTGGGGCACTTTTCTTCCCTCTCAGTGAATACAGGGGCCCAACAAATGTCTTGTTTGTGCATGTACTGGCCGAGTGGTTGAGTGCTTGCCGCGTGCTGGGCCCTCTGGGTGGCCCTGGGATCCAGACACTAACCACTGGCCACTTACAGTCTTGCCTCTCCTCACTGTCTTGTCACAACTGTGGCAAACACAGTCTTTTGGTGCTGAGTGTGCACAGAGATGAGTAAAAGCCACAACTGTAGCTTCCCCAAGGAGCTCGCAGCCAGCAGGAAAACAAGACCTCAGTCATCTCTTTTTCTGCCTTCCCTGTCTCCCAAACTCAACTTCATGGCCACTGGCCTGCCCTGTGGCCCCTAGCATTTTTTCTTTTGTATTACATTAATTTGTTTTCATGTCATCTTTTGACCGTAAACTTTACTCTGAGCTTCCTAGCAGCTGAGGAAAAAAGGGAAACAGGATGTGTACTCTGATCCCTTGTTTGATATGAGCATGAATTCTTCAAAAGAGGTAATTTTTTTTCCACTGCTGGTAAACCATAGGGAAATGATCCAATTCATTAAAAAAAAAATGCTAGTCAGTATAAAAGTATCATCAGTAATAGTTTTTGGCAGATGTTATAAATGTCATAGTTCTCGTGGGGCTCTTCTCACATCACCCTGGTGTAGCTGGGGAAGGGCAGGGGGGCATCCCCTGGGATGTACTTGTGTCAGATATTGTCACTTCCACATGCATTTTGCCTCGAATCTTTACAGTCCCCTTAAGTAGGGCACCATCCTCCATACTGGAGAGTGGATGACTGGGTGGCTTCAGGGAGTAACTGCATGTGTGACCACAAAGGTGTTGCTCTTGTCAGCATCCCACAGCATCTTAGGTGAGGCACGTGTACTCCACACCCCCAGTTGCTACTGAGAGATGACAGTCCGTCTGTTTTCATTTCAAAAAGTACAACAGATTGCAAGTTTCCTCCTGCCAGACACCATGACGCCTCCTCACCTCATGAAGGCCCGCGGCTCTCAGGTGATCCTGCTGGTGTCGGGCTTGGAGCTGCTGCTCTTCACCATCCAGGGCCTGCAGCTGGCAGCCTTCCAGGACCACCAGAAGCCCATCTCGGCCCTGTGGGTGGTGAGTGTGGGTCCGCCTGCCTGCACTGTGGCCCCAACTCCAGGGCCCATGGCTCTGCCTCACTTGGCTTCTCATTTCAAGGACGAGAGTCGAGTCCTCACTGCTTCCTTAGACCTCTCCCTGCGAGTCTACGTGTGGAGCAAGGAGAATCCGCTTCCTGTCCTGAAGAGCTGCTATCACCTGCTCGGCGGCTCCCACAGATGGGCCAGGTACCTGCTCCCAGTTCCCTTCCCTTCACCTGTGAAGCGGCCTCACCTGGCCCACCAGCAGCAGCTGGAAAGGGTGTGACTGGGACTTGGGTCTCAGCCTGGCCTATTTTCGTTATCTGGAGGCCTGAGATAAGTCGCTGCTCAGATGCCATTTTCTCCTCCGCTTACAAACAAAGATGCCAACCATCATCTACGTTATCTCCTCTGGTGTACAAAACCCTGCAGTCGGTGCCACCCGTTCTCCCAGATCAAACAGAGGCGCTGAGATATGGCTGTTTCGCCCACAGTCCGGCAGGGACGCACAGCGACACCCAGGCCGCTCCGGCCTGGACCTGCAGCCCTGATCTTGCCTTCTGCCCTAAGCCACACGATTCCAAAACCACTTATCAAACGCAGGTGGTGGTGGAGTCAGTGGGGGTGAGATGGGAAAAGTCCCAAACAGTGTGCTTTTGCTTTGAGTTCTGTCATTAGTATTTTGGAATCATTCGTTTCTTCTTGCCAGATGGAGTTCTACAGACAGGGTGGACAGATCTGCCCTGGGCTGCTCACAGTGAGATGGCTGATCGCCTCATTGACTTGGTATGAGGTCTGGGGTGATCTCAGCTTCTCGTGGCAGACCTTTTACTGTCGCAAATGAAAATTGAAAAAACACCAAGCCCCAAACCAAATACTGAAAAAACTAGAGTCTGTAACAAACCTACCTCATTTCTGAGTTTTCAGTCAGTTATTTGAAGATAATTATTAAAACTCCTAATTAATATAGAAAAACTTTATTCCTTTTAGTAAACCAGCTCAACTTTCTGATAAGAAGTAGAGATCAAATTTAAATCTTCCCATAATCAGTAAGCTGTAATGCTCTACTGACTTGCTGAGCAAAGCATAGAGGATAGCCTGCCGCGCTCATTCTGAGAAGGCTTCCATCACTTGCTTCTTTACCCAGGTTGCCTCCTCCAGTTCCTTTGAGGTTCACACCTACATTGCTGTATTTTTGCTAGTTAATGACCCGGTACACTTGCCCCTTCATGCGCTTGCCCTTCAGGGGTGGGGGCATCATGGCCTCACCATGCTGAGTCTGCATGTGACCAGAGGTTGGCATTTGTAACAAGCCCCTTTGGTGGGAGAGGTCCCACTTAGACGCCACAGCCACTTGGACTGTCGTGATGGCTCCTCCTCCGGTGGCAGGAAGCCTCTCCCCACTGAGGGACACAGTGCTGACGCTTGTACTCATGGTTGCTGGATAGCGACCAGGTGGGGAGGTTGCCCTTGAGGGGCTTGTGCTCCCATTCTGGCCTCAAAATATACCTGGCCCCACTCTTTTCTATGTGTGTCCTTAAAGGATTCTCTACAACATTACTGAGTGGTTAGAGCATCCTTTCACTGAAATAACACCGTTCTCAACTTAGCAGGCAAGTGGCCCTTTTAGAAACTTCCTTTTTACATGTCTTTTAACTGCACCATGTGCACTACACAACAGGACCATTGTGCTGAGCACGTAGCACTGGGAGAATCTTTCACACGTGCGTTTTTACACACTGAATTACATGGACATAGAATGGAAAATGTCCTTCACTGAACTGACCCCATTCTCGATGTGATAAATAAGTAGCACACCTAGAAATACCTTTTCAGAAGTGTGTTTTAGTTAGGACGCTAGAATGGATCATGATTTTTAATTATGCCCCTTTCCTGATTCAGAACAGATTCCTGTGGAAATCCGTAGTTGCGTGGCAGTTTCTTTTGGGAGCCTCATTTGGCAACAATGAGCCCAGCAGTCCTGCTTCATGCTGTTCCCCATAAGCTTTTCCTAGCACCTTTTTGAATGCTGCAAGACATAAACAGTACTTTCTGAGAGCTTTTCAGTTTCCTAAAATGTTATCATCTGTGAATACATAATACATAAATAATTCTCTAAAGAAAACAGGGAAAATGGGTGTGTTAGATAGATGTACATTTACCAGCAACCCAGCCACATACCCCAGGTATCTAACCAGGAGATATGTTATATCCAAACAAAGACTTGTACATGAATGTTCTTAGCAGCTTTATTTTTGTCGTTTTTAGTTTGGAATTTATTCTAAGCTAAAAGGTAGTTCACAAAAACCAAAAAGTGGCAATATTTTAGAAGCAATTTGTAGCCAAAACCAGCTTTTACAGGAAACTCAAGTCCTTTGTGTGGTTTGGCTGGTATGGTTGTCTCCACACTGCTCGCTTGCTGTCATGCCTCAGAGCAGCACTGTCTGCCTTTTTAGGCAAAGATAGCATCGTGGAAAATGATGGCTCCTATGTTGATGTCTTTCACTGAAACTGGTTGGGAATTGATGGCCTGATTCTCGATTCTGGGGAAATGACTACCCTCTCGAGATTGGATGAGGTATATGTTTTCTATTGGAAGTTTCTAGACTTCCTGAAATCGTAATTCGGGCAGCTACCATCAGGAGGGCTCAAAGCTGATACTCCCACTCCAGAATGTGAGTGCATTTGCTAATTGTCAGGAATGAACGCAGATCTCAACATGGATGGGGTGTGCTAGGATGGAGAAGGTCCAGAGGTTGTGTTCCGTCTTTGTGTAAAGACTTACCTCCCTAAATATGTGTCTTCCGCAAGTTAACACACAGCCCGTCCCTTCCTTTTGCAGTGGATTCACCCACGTGGAAAGCGACAGTGTGAGCATTGTAGGTGTGGAAGCCAGAAACATCGGGACGAGCATTCTGAGGTCATACTGCTTCAACATCCAGCATGGCTCAGATGATTGTGTCAATTGAAGATAATCTCACTCTGGTGAAAAGCTTGTCTGCATACAAACTGATTATTTTATCAACATTGGAAAAGGAAGGAGTGATTCTCATAGGCCCCTTATGGGCCAGTCACTGTGCTATGTGACTTTTTTTTTTTTTAATCCTCACAACAGGCCTTTGAAGGATATATGATGTTTCTATTTTTCCAGCTGGGAGCCTGACCAATAACAGAGTCACCCATTACTGGCCTGTTGTCTGGCTGCATTGCCACCTGCCCAAGCTTATTCAGACCAGTAAGTGGGAGAGAGGAGTGGATGCAAGGAGGCCCACGTTCAAGGTGCTGGGCTTGTATCCTCATTGTTTTGTTATTCAGATATGTAATAAAGTAAGAAATATTTTTTTCCCCTATTCTGTCACGTGCTTTAGACACACATAAATAAATAGTTGTGTGGCGCCACACTGCAGAACTGTGGGGATACCATTTTGTATTCTGTGCAAGTGGCACCCCCAGAGGTGGTCCGCAGGGAAGCCCTGGCTGCTTTGGGGGGCATATCAGTTGAGTTCCCAATGGCAAGCAACAGGAGAGAAGGCTGGCTAACACCAAGAATGGAGTTTACTGGCAGGAAATAGAGCTGTGCACTAGGTCAGTGGGAAGGCTGGAGAAACAGACGCGGACCCACAGGAAGCAGGGCAGCAAGCAAGGCCTCACCTGCCATCGTTTCCCTGAGTGCCCCCGTACTGCTGCCGCTGCGTGTGTGGCACTGACGCTGTCTGAAGACTTCCCGGCTGCTCCGACACTCAGAACACCAGGATGCGTGTGTTTCTGGCTTCACCACATGCCCACGCCACCTGGGCCAGGACGGGATAGAGGGACCTCTTCAGCTTCGATGGAGTGGCTCCCAGTTGACTTGCACTGTGAAAAAGTCTTCAAAAATAGGAAAACTTTTTGACAGCCAATGAGGGTTAAAACCTCTCAACTACAACCTGTTGCTCTAGCTGTGCAGTACCACAACCCCTTAGCTCCTGAGCCCCGTACAGACAAGCCCAGATACAGTCATTTCCTCAAAAGGAAAAAAAATCTGTGGCCTCCCCCCACCTTTAAAATCTAAGATAAGGCTTATTTTCGGATCATTTTAGGTTTACAGAAAAGTTGCAAAGGCAGTGCCGTAAGGTATATGGATATACCTTTTGCCCAGCCTCCCCCTGGTGTGAGTGTCTTACATAACAGATATTTGGAAACCCAGAGTCCTTGTCATCTCGAAGTCAGAACTCTGTTAATCCTATTACAGTCCTGTCTGGTAGTCAGCGGTCCTAGTGCATCCTGCATAAAACCATGGAGGAAAGGGAGAAGAGACAAGAAATTAGCTAAAATAAATACGTGACACAGCAAGAAAGGAAATAGCTGTTTCATTCAGAAGATGAAGAAAGTTCAGGTAAGTTGAGATACAGGAGTTTTTGGTGAAGGCACATTGTAAGAGGCTGGAGTGTTGGCAAAAGAGGGGAACTCAGCGAAGGGATTGGTGAGTGTATGGGCCACCTGAGAGGCGTGGACATGTGGCGACTGGGAAAGCAGTGGGGTCAGTTCTTACAGAAGGCCACTGGCCAGAGCCTGGCTCGTGCTGGCTGCAGCATTAGGATGGTGGTTTGTCCGGCTATGGTGGCCCTGCCCAGGGACACCTCTGTGGGTTCCTGCTTTGGGTGTGACGTAGGAAGCTTCTGGAGGGAGTCCTAATGGGAGCATAGGAAGCTTTTGCGGACAGTGTGTGTGAAGTCTGGCCCACAGGCTCCTCACAGGAAAGCAAGGTCTTTGAGGTGTGATACCACAGCCTGGGGGAAACACCGAAGTGTGTCATGCTCTCATGTCCTGTAAATCCAAGTTCTGAGGCTTCCTTCCCCTCATACGGCAAGGACCGCTGCTACTGGGGGAGCACGAGGGCCTAAGTGGCACTTCTGATTCCTGCCAGGAGGGAGACAGCCTTCTTCTGAGCCTCTGTTACTCCAGGTGCAGCCAAGATACTCTGTATTAAGCAGAAACAGAAAACATGAAGAACTTTCCCTAGTACCTGATCACAAGCTAAGTCTTAACAAATTCCAAAATATTAATTGCTAACTACAAAAATTCCTTTTTGAACACACACACATACACACCATTAAAACTCAGTTTTAAATAACTGATGAGTTAAAAAGAAAATGTAAGCAGGAATTATGAAAAATATCTTAGAAAATAATTTTCTTAACTGGATAAAGGGAGTGTGAAAGACTGCAAACATGCCTAATGATAGGTAATCAGAAAAATTTTTACTGATGTTAGAAACAGTATAAATATGATACTGATCACCACGATAATTAAGTATTGCCCTTGAGGTACTAATAAATGTAATACTTTTTTAAATTCTAAAAAAAAAAAAAAAGATTAGAAATGGGTATGTGTGCTGTAATTTCTAAATAGTACTATCTCCTTTAGAAACCTAAGAAAATCATTAGAATTAGCAAATCATGATTGGTGAATAGGTTATTTGTATACTGAAATCAGTGTAACAAAAATGAGAAAATATAGGAAAATTATCCCATTCACAATAATACCAAAAACTGTAATATCTTGGGATTTAAAAAGAAAAAAAACTTTTCTAAAGAAAAAACACAGCTTTTCTAAAGGAATAAAGAATAGAGATAACCGGGGCACCTGGGTGGCTCAGTGGTTTAAGCCTCTGCCTTCAGCTCAGGTCATGATCTCAGGGTCCTGGGATCGAGCCCCGAGTCGGGCTCTCTGCTCAGCAGGGAGCCTGCTTTCCACCCCCCCCCCCCGCCCCCTCCTTCTCTGCCTACTTGTGATCTCTGTCTGTCAAATAAATAAATAAAATTAAAAAAAAAAGAATAGAGATAACCTGTGTTCGTGAATAGAAGAATTACTACTTTAAAGAGACCATATATTGGAAGCAATACCAATATAATTGCTACTGTTTTTAAAATAGAGTGTAAAAAGATGATCAGATGTATATGGAGCTGTAAGAGGACAAGAGTAGCCAAGACAGTCTTGCAGGAAAAAAAGGGCAAAGGAAGGGGTAGACCTGTTCTGTGAATTATGAAGACAGAATTAAACTCTGTCACTGAGACAAGTGGCATCCCTGTGTGAAGAGACAATGGAGGATCGAGGTGCAGGTATGTTTGGAGGTTGGGTATACAGTGTAAGTCACATAAGTCAGAAATGATGCTTCAGTAAGTGATCTTGGAAGGACTGGCTATGCAAATGGAGTAAAATCAGATTTCTTCTTGTACCATGCACAAACTATTTTTGTGTGTAAAGGATCTAAACAGCATTTTTTTTATCTTTTTTTTTTTTTTGAGATTTTATCTATTTATTGGAGAGAGAGAGAGAGAGGGCTGTAACAGGGAGGAGAGGGAGAAGCAGGCTCCCCGCTGAGCAGGGAGCCCAACGTGGGACTGATCCCAGGACTCTGGGATCATGACCTGAGCCGAAGGCAGTCACTCAATGAACTGAGCCACCCAGGAGCCCCTAAACAGCATATTTTTAAATTATAGGGGAGGAGTTATAATTTATAAATAAAAAGTTATATTTTGTAATTATAGGAAAATTAGAAAAGGCTTTTTAGAGGATTAAATAATAACAAAAGCAAATCCCATAGTGAAATAGTCTTATATCAAAATTTAAATTTTCTGTACAAGTGACAACATAACCAAAATTAACACATGCCATTGATAGCAAACCCCAAATTGAACTAAGAGGAAACATAATTTACAGAAGAAACCAAACCCTAAAGTAAGGGGAAAATGCTCAAAATCATTAGTAATTACAGCTGAATAAAACAATAATGACCCATCACTTTGCATTATTAGGCTGGCCAAAAAAATGTAAACAGTAGGAAGCCGGATGATGCTCAGTGTTTGCGGGACGTGTGGACACAGGACGGAGGACACAGGACCCAGTGATGGAGGCTGCCTCAGTCCTGTTTGCATTTGAACATCTTTGGCCAATCCAAGGTAGGTGGTCCAGTGGTGCAGGTTCCGGGTAGCACTGCCTCGGCTCTCTACCAGGCCCCCACCCATCCCCTGTTCTGGTCAGCACTAAGCTTCCTTCTCTTACTTCCTGCACCCTTTGCTCTGAGGGTGTAGCTCTTTGAGGTCCTTGCTCACTGTGGGCTCACTCCAGTGCGTCTCCAGTATGCACCACCCAGCACCTAGGTGGCTGGCAGAGTCCGCTCAAATGCCCTGCATTGGGTGCCTCAGCTCTAGGTGCGGGGCAGCCTGGTGCAGATGGGGTGCCAAGTGCAGGAGAGAGGGACTGGTTGAGGGAACTGGAGGTGTATAAGTTTTGTGTCCCAGCTAGTCCACCCTTTGCACCACCCCCTCCCATCGTGTACAGCCCTCAGAATACATGGTGGGACCTACCATCCCTGCGCCACCTCCTGCTGAGAACAAAGGCATCCTTACTCTGCAGGTGTGACCAGAGTCCCAAAGTTGACGACCTGTTCTGGATGCCTGTGGCAAGAGCCCCTCTGTTGGATTCCCTTTAAGTAGCACTTTGGGCTATCTGGGTTGTTTGGTGGGATGACCCAGACCTTCATCCCCAAGGTGATGGTCGTGGTGGTTTCCCTTGCTCATTGAAAGTCATTGCCGCTAAGTCACTGCTAAGAGATACCAGTTCCTTCACCTAGGCTGTAGACACATCCTACCGTACTCGATTATCTACTAGCAACCTTCATCCCTGATGTTTGTCAGTTACTATCCCAATCATCAGAACCAATCCTTTCTTTGCCTGTTGGGCCAAGACATTAGAGAGTCAGGTGGTAATCACAGATTCCCCTTAAAGGTGTTCTTGCTGTGACCCTGAAAGAACTGTCTCCACTCCCGTCTCCCGGAGCTGGGACTTACCTACAATCCCTGAGAGTGCCAGGATGCATGAATGAGAAACAACAAAATATGCAGGGTTGCTGGCTGTCGTAATTGGGGCCACTCCTACACCTGTTGGTCTTCAGACTCCTATACTGTAGCAGTAGTGGCACTGTTCATCATTGGTAATCGGTTCAGAATGTGTGCCACATCCTGGATTGGATGATGGTATCCAGGCCACATTCAGTGTTGACCGCCTGGCCGGCACCTTAGTAACCGTTGGTAGGCCATGTCACCATCATATCAGGCCAGTTAATCCTGGATGATGGGATGGGACAAGACCAGTGCATTCCATAGTCATGAGCTCATGGTCACACCTCCTCTGGTGGAAAAGGAGTCCTTCGCTCTGAGGCAGTGCTGTGGGATATCACAGGTAAGGCATTCTGTGAGTCTTTGGGGATGGTGCTGGCAGAACCATAGGCAGGGGCCGTAAGGACAAAATACTGCCCCATGATTAATGGTGCCGAGTTGATAGCATCAGTCTGCTGTCCACTGGACAGGCCTTCAGCTATGGTGGTAACATGAGTCTTGGTATAGGAAGTCCTTGCCATTGAGCCTATGCTTAGCTGTCATCCCGGACACTGTTCCCAGGCCTCTGCACAAGGACCGGATGTGTGAGAAGAGTCTGCCTGGCAGCCAGAGGACGGTCATCCTGTTGCCATATTACTGAGAGCCTTCCCTGTAGTACGTGGTCTCTGGTGGGCTTTCAGGTAAGACGCAAAAATCTCATGCTGTTTGCCCTCCTCCACCTTTCTTGGACCTCCAGTTGGACCCTTCTAGGTCAGCCATCTGCCACTGTCAAAAGTCCATCTGTCTCCGTACCTCCACTCATTTTCTTTCTTATGAATGAATGACTGAGCCACTCTCAGCTTGGTTCATTTGAAGGACTTCCTTTCACAGTGTCTTTCAGGGACATCCCAAGTGGTGCTGTAATGAGGCAGCAGTGGCCCCACAGGCCATTTCCGCCAACACCCGCACAACAAGCCAACCCGGTTGTGATTCACTCTGAGTCCTTTGCTCATGCTGGTTATTGATAGGAGCCCCCCAAGAAGCATGGGAACTATCAGGAGAGCCAGCACAGGTAGAAATCTGGGTCACCTGTTCTGTGATTCACTTGGGCACTATGCTCCAGTCCCAAAAGGGCCATTACCATTGCATAAGAGATCACTGCTGTGCACACTGAATTCTATGATGGGCGGCTCATATCACATCTAGCTTAGGATGGGAAACAGATCCATTCTCACTTTATGTCCTGCTGTTGGGTGATCTGTCACTACCGGGGCACAGGAGCTGCTCTTCACATGACTCGTTCTCATCCCTAGAAGGCACATATTTAACTCCAGAATCTTACCTCTCTGTTCTGTCTTCCCTGTTGGAGCTTTCCAGATTCCAGACAACATCCTTACCAATCCTAGATCTTGGTAGCACCTTCTGACCTGCTGAGTTCTAGGATCAAGAAAGAGGGTATCTTGTGCCACAGCTAGGGTCTGCTCTGGTTTTGTTTCTGGGCCCCTGAGAAGCTAGCAGCTTCTGGGGCTGCGCAGTATATGAGTCAGAGGAATATTCCCAGCTTTGGTACTTGTTGTGTCCCAATTCAAATTCCAGAGAGACCCACAAAGTGTTATTTTCATTGTTTGTGTTCAAGTGGAGAGATACTTGAAGTACAGCAGCTTGTCCTTCACCTGAGAAGAAACATCTCGATACACCTTTTACCATCCCAGTGCATGCCCACCCTGGCAGACGGCCACAGGTTCTTTGAGGAACGACTGAAGGAATATTCACTGTATACATGTGTGATGGAGTTTCAGGAATGTCACTGAAGGGGAACTGACCTTCTTTTCACTGAGTGTGCTCTGGAGTCTATAAATTTAGAGCTGGGAACTGGGTGGGGGGGGGGGTCCCAATTTTCTACCAAGGTGGAAGGCAACTACATTTTTTTTTCTCTTTATATAAATAAGTTAGTGTCCTAGGGAGTTGTGGGTGTAACAGCCACTGCCTCAGATCCCTTCAGGTCATACCATCTTGATTGCCACTCTGACTCTGCCCATCCTTAGTCCACTGGGATGGCTTCAGATATTTTTACTCAAGTAAAATTTGTGAATCAAAGGTGAGTGCCCCAGGTAAATCTCGTCGGGTCTTAAATTCTACCTTCCCTCTTTGAACACCAGGATCTACTTTTACACACACTCCCCAGGCCCTATTATTAGGCAGGTCCTGTAATTCCTTTGTTTTGTAGGCACTTTTTCCCCAAAGCAGGGTTTGTATTTCTCTCTCCAGGCTCTGCTGGTACCTGATTCTCGATACCAACCTAGAGGCAATGAGAAGTGAGGGGAAGGTCCTGAGGAGGACAAACATCATCGTTCAAGGCATCCACCTCAGGTGAGGCTAACATGGAAGGGGATGTTTCTGCCATCAGAAAGGGTTCAGGGAAATGGGTGTGTATGTCCTGATTCTCAGATTGTCCGCCAAGTATCTCAGTCCCAAATATTAGAGTGTTACTCATCCTGCAACTGGGCCTAATTTTCACTAAGACCTGCTGAGGCTGTACATGGAGACTTCGTTGCTTTCCATCCTGTGCTGACAGAAGATAAGGTTGACTTTCAGATTTTCTCTGAAGTTGGAGGATGACTATCATTTACTTTTTTTTTGTAAACTGAAATGTTGGATAAACTGAATTTTATCCAAGTGCTAGAAGGGCAATGATGATCAGGTGGGTCACTGACAAAGAGAAATAAAACAGGAATACTCGAGAATCTAAGAAGGTGCACCAAGTTTCTTCCCAGTATGGGCATCACATCTACAACTACAGAAGATACTTCCTTTGTAGGAACACAGAGAACACTTAAAAAGAAAAAAGGAATATACTGGGAAGTAAATCAAGTCTCAGTGAATGTTAAATAATTAATATTCAAAGTATGTTCTCTGGCCACCATAAAATTATTTTAGAAATAAATGACACCCTCAGTTTGTTTTCCAGAGTCCATAGTCTCTCACGGTTCATCTTCCCCTGTGATTTCCCCCCCCTTCATTTTTCCCTTCCTTCTCCTAATGTCCTCCATGCTGTTCCTTATGTTCCACAAAGAAGTGAAACCATATAATTGACTTTCTCTTCTTGACTTGCTTCACTTAGTATCTTCCCCTCCAGTTCCATCCATGTTGATGCAAAAGTTGGGTATTCATCCTTTCTGATGGCTGAGTAATATTCCATTGTGTATATGGACCACATCTTCTTTATCCATTCATCAGTTGAAGGACATCTCAGCTCTTTCCACAGTTTGGCTCTTGTGGACATTGCTACTATGAACATTGGGGTGCATGTACCTCTCCTTTTCACTACATCTGTATCTTTGGGATAAATACCCAGTAGTGCAATTGCTGCATCATAGGGTAGCTCTATTTTTTAACTTTTTGAGACACCTTTACACTATTTTCCAAAATGGCTGTACCACTTTGTATTCCCACCAACAGGGTAGGAGGGTTCCCCTTTCTCTACAACCTCTCCAACATTTTTTTTTCTTGCCATGTTAATTTTTGCCATTCTAACCAGTATAGGTGGTATTTCAGTGTGGTTTTGATTTGTATTTCCCTGATGGCTAATGATGTTGAATATTTTTTCATGTGTCTGTTAGCCATTTGTATGTCTTCTTTGGAGAAGTGTCTGTTCATGTCTTCTGCTCATTTTTTTACTTGTTTTATGGGTGTTGAGTTTGAGTTCTTTATAGATTTGGATACCAGCCCTTTGTCTGTAGTGTCATTTGCAGATACCTTCTCCCATTCCAGGGGTTGTCTCTTTGTTCTGTTGACTGTTTCCTTTGCTGTGCAGAAGCTTTTGATCTTGATGAAGTCCCAGAGGTTCATTTCAGCTTTTGTTGTTTCCCTTGTTTTTGGAGATGTGTCTTGAAAAAAGTTGCTGTGGCCAGTGCCGAAGGGTTACTGCCTATGTTCTCCTATAGGATTTTGATGGATTCCTGTCTCATTGAGGTCTTTCATCCATTTAGAGTTTATCTTTGTGTATGGTCTAAGAGACTGGTTGAGTTTCATTCTTCTATATGTAGTTGTCCTATTTTCCGAGCACCATTTATTGAAGAGACATTTTTCCTGCTTTGTCAAAGATTCTTTGACCATAGAGTTGAGGGTCCACATCTGGGCTCTCTGTTCTGTTCCATTGATCTGTGTGTCTGTTTTTGTGCCAATACCATACAGTTTTGATTACTACAGTTTTGTAGTATATCTTGAAACTTGGATTTGTGATATCTCTAGCTTTGTTCTTCTTAATTAAGATTGCTTTGGCTATTCTGAGTCTTTTGTGCTTCCATACAAATTTTAGGATTCTCTTCTAGCTCTGAGGAAATATACTATTGGTAGTTTGATAGGGATTGCACTGAATTTGCAGATTGCTTTGGGTAGTATGGACATTTAACAATATTCTTCCAATCTATGAGTATGGAATATCTTTCCATTTCTTTGTGTCATCATCCATTTCTTTCATCAATGCTTTGTATTGTTCAGAGTCTAGGTCTTTTTTTTTTTTTTTTAAAGATTTTATTTATTTATTTGACAGAGAGATCACAAGTAGATGGAGAGGCAGGCAGAGAGAGAGAGAGAGAGAGAGAGAGAGGGAAGCAGGCTCCTTGCTGAGCAGAGAGCCCGATGCGGGACTCGATCCCAGGACCCTGAGATCATGACCTGAGCCGAAGGCAGCAGCTTAACCCACTGAGCCACCCAGGCGCCCAGAGTCTAGGTCTTTTAATTCTTTGCTTAAATTTATTTCTAAGTATTTTATTATTTTTGTTGCAGATATAAATGAAATTTTCTTAATTTTTCTTTCTGCTTTATTATTAGTGGACAAAAATGCTTTGATTTCTGGATATTAACTTTGTATCCTGTAGCTTTACTGTATTTATTCTACAAGCATTTTTAGTGGAATCTTTAGGATTTTTTCTCTGTGTAACATCATGTCGCCTGCAAATGATGACAGTTTAACATCTTTATCCGATTGCTGAGTAAGGACTTCCAGCACTGTGTTGAATAAAAGTGACAAGAGTAGGGGCACCTGGGTGGCTCAGTCATTAAGCAGCTGCCTTCAGCTCAGGTCATGATCCCAGGGTCCTGGGTTTGAGCCCTGCATCAGTCTCCCTGCTTAGCAGGAAGCCTGCTTCTCCCTCTCCCACTGCTTATGTTCCCTCTCTCACTGTCTCTGTCAAATAAATAAAATCTTTAAAAAAAAAAAAAGTTTTTTTGTGGTTTTTTTTTTTTCAAGTGGCAAGAGTGAAGATCCTTATCTTGTTCCTGATTTTAGAGGAAAACCTCTGTTTTTGACCACTGAGTATGGTTGTTAGCTGTGGGTTTTTCATATAAGGCTTTAATATGTTGAGTCATGTTCCCTGTAAGCCCACTTTGTTGAAGTTTTTATCATGAATGGATGTTGAATTCTGTGAAATGTTTTTCTGCATTTATTGCATTTATTGAGATGATTATATTTTTCTCCTTTGTTTTGTTGATGTGGTGTTTCACATTGATTGATTTGCAAATATTGAACCATCCTTGCATCCCTGGAATACATCCCAATTGATCATGATGAAATATCCTTTTAGGTATTCTTGAATGTGGCTTGTTGCTATTTCATTGAGGATATTTACATGTATGCTCATAGAGGATGTTGTCTTGTAGTTTTCGTGTGTGTGTGTGTGTGGTATTTATGGTTTTGGTATCAGGGTAATGCTAGCCTCCTAGAATGTATTTGGAAGATTTTCTTCCTCTTCTATATTTTGGAAAAGTTTGAGGATAAATATTAACTCTAACATAAATGTTTGGTAGAAAAAACCTGTGAATTCATTTGGCCCTATACTTTTATGTTTTGGAGATCTTATGATTATTGATTCAATTTCATTAGTAGCAATCAGTCTGTAAAAATTTTCTATTTCTTCCTAATTCAGTTTTGGAAGATTATATATTCCTAGAATTTATCCATTTCTTTTAGGTATTCTAATTTGTTGGCATATAGTTTTTTGTATTATTGTCACATACAGTTTTTTGTGTTACTCTGTTACGCTTCTGTATGTTCTGTGGTATCAGTTGTTACTTCTCTCTTGTTTTAGATTTTATTTATTGGGGTCATTTCTCTTTTTTTCTTGATGAATCTGGCTAATGGTTTACCAGTTTTGTTTACGTTCTCAAAGCGCCAGCTCTTGGGTACATTGATTTTTTTTTTTTTTTCCTTAAGTCTCTATGTCATTTATTTCTCCTCTGGTCTTTATTATTTCCTTCCTTCTACTCACCTTGGGCTTTATTTTTCTTTTTCTACTTCCTTTAAGATTAGATTTTCTGAGTTGCTTTTCTTATTTTGTGAGGAGCCTGTATCACAATTTTTCTTTAGAATGGCTTTCACTGCATCCCAAAGCTTTTGGCCCATTATGCTTTCATTTTCATTTGTCTTCATATATTTTAAAATTTATTCTTTGATTGCTTCATTGAACCATGTTGTTTCGTGTCATATTGTTTAGCCTCCACATGTTTTTGCCTTTTTTCCGTTTTTGTTTTTTTTTTTCCCCCTCATGTGATTGATTTCTTGTTTCATACCATCGTGGTTAGAAAAGGTGCATGGTATGATTTCACTCTTCTTAAATTTATTGAGGCTTGTTTTATGGCCTAAAATGTGATCTCTTCTGGAGAATGTTCCACGTGCACTTGAAAGAAATGTGTATTCTACTGTTTTGGGATGGAATGATCTATATATATCTGTAATGTCTATCTGTTCTAGTGTGTCATTGAAAGATGTTTCCTTATTAATTTTCTGTCTGGATGACCTATCCGTTGAGGGAAGTGGACTGTTAAAGTCCCCTATCATTATTGTATTACCATCAGTTTCTCTCTTTATGTCCATTAATATCTGCTTTATATATTCAGATGTTCCTGTGTTGGGTGTGTAGATACTTATTATATTCTCTTGTTGCATGGATCTCTTTATTGTTATGTGATGCTGTTGTCTCTTGGTAAGTCTTCCTTTTAAAGTCTGTTTTATCTGATATAAGCACTGCTAGCCCAGCTTTTTTTCCCCACTTCCATTTGCATGGTAAATTCCATCCCTTCACTTTCAGTCTCTATGTTTCTTTAGGTCTGAGGTGAGTTGCTTTTGGGGTGCATGTAGATGGGTTTGTTTTTTTTTTTTTTAAATCCATTCCACCACTGTATGTGCTTTGATTGGAGGACTCAGGACATTTACTTTTATTATGTTCAGTTAGCCAGCATATATTACATCATTAGTTTTTGATGTAGTGCTCAGCAGTTCATTAGTTGAATATAACAACTGTTTACATTTAAGGTATATTTTATTTTTTAAAGTTTTATTTAAGTTAAAGTTAATATACAGTGTGATATAG